ATTTCGCAGCTAACCTTCACTGAAGGCCGCGCAACTATCCGCCACCCGTGGAGGCGCCAGGTAGCCTGCAGTTTGGCTAACGGGTAACCCTCCATTCCCGGGTAACCCGCCTTCATCTGGGATTAATAGCACTGAAAAGGCCTAGTGAGCTGTAGTAACAGTAGCGGCGTTTCACTAGATTACTGCGAAGAGCCCAGGCGGCTTGTTAAGGTGTGCTTAAGAGAAAACTGGTGTGCCTATACCTTCTGTTCCAGTCTAACGGATACCCTACGAGCTTGGTTGAAATTAAATAAAGACAGACTCTAGGTAACAGACACCATACCTGAATAGCAAAATTCTGCGACCATACAACAGTTACATCGTACTAATATTCCCGGCTGTTAAAAACGCACTTGAAGGTGAACATCGCCCTCATCTAGACCTCGTTGATGTAATTACCATAGCCAATATTAAACAGTCGTGAGATTTTCTTCGGTTATGATCTAGAATATGAACAGTGGTAGGAATGCGTTAACTGATAAAGTGTATCAGAACCAATGCTGACGAACTTGGTCCACACAAAGACGAAGAAATGAATCGTCACGTGAGGTAAGAAAGGCTGCAATTTTACGAATGCAGTTTTGTTGTGACTGAAAAATAATATGCCTGTGAATCACTAGGTGAATATCCAATTAGAAAGCAATACTTATAGTATGAATGATCCGACAGAAGTAAGATTGTGCTAGCAAGGCATTTGATAATTTATGTTAGTCAGAAGGAATTAAAGCTTCTTCTATCAAACAACGCGACATCATTTCGAGCTGTTATAACCCAGTACAGATTTTTATTAAGTAAAACCTGACAACTATTCTAGCGATAAAAAAACATTTCGGCATAAGCAAGCGGACACACCTGTGAATGTCTGGATGTTCTTTCGCAGTGTGACAGGCTATCTCCAAAAAGGTAGCCCTCTCAAAGAGGATGATTTCATCTGCCTCCAGCACCTCGCACAGCTGCTTCAGACTCCTTTCCAGGAGCTGTACGTTGGGGATCAAATGATAAACAATTTTCGACCAGGCCTTATAAAGAGTCTCGTCCCAGATGGAGGTGGCAAAACAGGTGCATTCAGCTGGCTTGGTGATGGATTCTAGGTTTTTCATACGCTCCCGGAAGAGCTGGAAAACAGAAACAACAGCATATGCGATATAAGGTGCACCACAGGAAATTAAAGATACATTATAAAAACAAAGAAAATGGGACCTTCATAATGACAAACACGATAAATTAAGAGAAAGACGAGTCTCACAGGTCGATGGCCGAAAGGGATTATCAACGAAATCCTGATCGGAAACAACTAAAGCGACCGGGAGGAAAGGAGAAAAAATTCTAAACCGTAGTACTTGCTTGTAGCTAAGCTTGTGCCTTCAGACCCTGTGAAAAGTCTATCGGGCCCGAATAAGACATAGGCTTAGAAGGAGTCGCGTTCTGCCAAAAAGGCAGAGTTGGTCGAAAAAGGGCTCTTATAATTTTGAAGGAGACAAACGTACGCAGGCAAGTTTTGATTTCCAGAGATCTTATGTGCGGTGAAGGACAAAACGCCCAAATAACTAGATGTATCGAAACATAGCATGTAGTAACGAAAACAAATGATGGACGATTCGGTGCTTATTGTCACCGGGGAATAAACTAGAAGTGGTTGTTTCAAAAACTATTATGTTAAAAACCCTACATTTATCCTTGACTATATCACATAAAAAACACAATAATATGAAACCACAGCAAATTAACAGACAGCCGAGAGTCTCTGAAGACACAAGGCCAAAAGAAGGTAACTTTAAGATACAATTCCCTATTTATTGTATATTCGGTGCGAAACGCCCTATGCGTGAACGCTTAACCTAGTAAACGACCAGCCTGGAAAATGGTCAATCGACCAAACGAAAAACGGACTGAAGGAGTTGTCAACTACATATAGGTGGTCCGATGAGCAACATTCGACGTAAGGTGAAGATTCGAGGGTAGTGGTTACAAAGACCAGTTACAAAAGTAAGCGAAACGTAACGTTCCCGCGCACAGTCGAGTAGACGAACATGAGCTTGTCTTGGCTAGACAGCATAGATGCAAGAACCCAAAACGTCGCTGAGGCCATCAATAATTTAAAATTACAGTAAACATTTGTGCACGCATTTGCTTCTGACTGACCCTGCACTAGCAACTCAGAGTTGGTTGCTCTGGTTGACAGACGAAGCGCTGGACACAACTAGACTTAACAGCCAGTCACACCTGCCTGGTGAAGGAAATGCTGAGCGAACTCTTCCTGCGGATAATACTGACAAGCGTGTACCGATCGCATAATTAGCAACAGGGTAACAGTAGGAACTAGACCTGCATGAGGTAAAATTTGCCGGGAACAGAGACTACTAGAAGTAATACGCGAAAATAAATTAACATGTGTGGAAAGACGAGGAATAATGCAAGCAAAAAATCTCCGCCAACGACTTCGTACTATCAACCTAAGAAACTGCGGACTGCGTCGTGTTCCAGTAGAGAGATCGAGACTTAAATATGCGCGCAAACGTCTACGAGAAAATGTAAAAATACGCTGGTGAAGTTGAGGAATGTCACACATAAAAATAAGCAGGTATGCTCCTTTAACACAAAAACTGTGGAAAAACAGCAACGATATCTTACACTTTTCCGTCGCTCTTCGCTGATCAGGTCCATCTTATGAATAAGACAGAAAATCTTAGCATCTGGAGAATGCTGATTAATAGCTTCGAGACATGAGCGATAGTAGGCAAGGTCCTTGTTAACCTCCTGGCTTTCTACGTCAAAAACGTAAATAAGGACTTCGACGTTTCTGAAAATATTTTCCCGTTGATTGACCAAATAGCTTTCCATAAAACCTTCCTGGCTAAAATAATGGT